GATTATTGATGCTATGTTTCAAGGTATTACAGATTTACTTGTCCCGTCCGCCCACTTCCGGTTCTGTTGGTCTTGTTGTAATTATGTCTTAAGCTTTACCAAAAAAGATCAGGCATTTGGGAGGGATATACATCTATAAAGCTCCCTTTTATGTATAGGCGTGTTTAACAAATATTGTATATGGAGCCAGATAAGGGGTGGAATAATCTCAAACCTATTATAAGTCTATCACAGTTGTTGAAATAATATTCAATTTAATGATTATTAACATAATTGCCAGTGAGTAAGTTAAGGCTTTAAGACCAAATATTCAATTTAACGGTTGGCTGACTAGATCATCGTTAATTTCGTGTCTTCCTCTTCGACAATCTAAAAGGATAGGATTTTATTTGTATTATAAAAAAGTGAAAGGGTGTTTAAGCACCCTACTCGAAAAACAGCAGAGGAAACACCATTAATCATAGTCAATTCACACAACCAGTAGATTCAAGCTATTCAGCATATTGGTCTGGATAAAAAACCGTTGACTATTTGCATTAATTTTGCGGCTTTAAAGAACCTGATCACAGGTAAAACACATATTTATTTATATGATTAGTGGCTATATGAACATATAGTCATGTTTTGCTTTACTTGTACAGACAACAACATTTGTCCCTCGAGATGTTGAGAAAATGCCATTAGGCGTTACACCAGTGTGGTTCTTACATCTTACGGCAGCACTATTGTGTACATAAAATATCTTGTGATATGTCTATGATACATACCTGCTTGCATGTCTCGGGAGCACATAAATGTGTGCGTATAAGCTTACAGAGATAATTATAGGCATACACACACAGACACACCCACAAATGCGCATGAGGACATTTGAAGCACACTGCGCTTTAAGTGACAATATCATTCAGAAATCGTGCTTCGGATTCTTGTTAGGTCAACCAATAAATCTTTTATAAACTATTTGTCATAAAAAATGAAAGGTCTAACGAATTGAACTTGTTGCTAATTTTTTTATGAAATCCAATTTTGTATAGTATTTGCCATGTAAATATGCTTCTAAATAAATCGCAAATGGGTTAATGAACGTATGCAAAGCCCTCCAGAATTAAGGGAGACCAATAAAGCCTGTGCTGCTGTTCGTATATTTTGTCGACCCATTTGCTCTTGATACTGTATGTTGGGCAAAATCTTTGCCGCAAACTTTCCCGAGGTCATCTCGTCACAAGAGCCATTCCTGGATTAGCCAGGAAATGGCCCAAAACCAATATATTTCATCTGACTTTTTGTATTGCTTGAGGTTATTCGGCGATTTCTGATAAAAAACACACCTTTTCACCGTGTGACCCTAGCAGGTATCAGTCATGAAGCCCTGTTCCCCACTCTTGGAAGTTGCATTTGTGACCTGTCCTCGGCCAAAATCAGCCAAAAACCAGGTCCTACTGTACATTTGCTATTGTAAGTGGGCGGACTGAATTATTCGTTGTTCTCATTTTGTTATTAGTTAAATTGCACTATCTTTCTTGTGCTCTCTAAGGCATTATTTCTACATTTTTCCCATTTGTTCAGCTTTCAAACCTCTCTGCATGCCTCGACAAGCTTCAATCAATCGGGCTGCAAACAGAAGAGTTTCCATCACAATGTAAGCAATACATCGTTCTCTCTGTTTTACTGTTTTTGCCTCAATCTCTTTTTCCTCAATCATTTCGAAGGTTCTGGCCCTTTAGCTCACTTTTATTCACCTTCAATTCACTAGTTCATATTGTCATCTTTGCCGTTCCTCCTTCCAGACATAGCTGAGGGTCGGCTTAAGCCCATCCTCAGTCTATTCTTCAGCTTGTCGAGGTACAAACAGCAGATAAAGAGCGCCCAACTTTTGTCGATGGGGCTGATGAAAAACGGGTCCTGGTCACAAGGACACGCCGAACAGTTGGCGCGACCGGAAGCCGGACTCGCCGCCTCTCCAGCCAACCATCTCCAGCCGTACATGGCGCCACCGACTGGGGTCGACTGCTTGTCGAGACGATGCGTGGACGAGGTCGTGC